TAAACTGAAAATGTTCATTTGCTATTGTTTACGCGTCTACCAAATAGCTAATGCCCAAATGCAAATAAAGCGAGATGTCTGATATCAATAACATATAGTGTCATCAGAATCTTAAATGATCAAATTCACAAAAACCGATGTCCTGCAGAGTTTAGCTCCAACCCTGAAAAAAAAACTCACTTGTCTGTAGCCGCAGTAATCCTGAAGACCTTGATTAGCTTGTTCAGGTGTGTTTGATTAGGGTTAGAGCTAAACTCTGCAGGACAGCGGCACTCCGACGTTGCCTATCCCTATTATAGTATCAATATCACAAGAAGAGTGCTGTTTCCTCCAAAAATCAGCCTGATTACAAATGTGATATTGATTTTATACAACTGTTCAATAAAAAATGTGTTAATATTGTGTTAAGATTAATTTCTGTCACTGCTGTGAACTGACCACCACACAGAATATGAATATTAAAAATTTTAGGAGTCAGCTGTCCACTGTAGTCCTTAAGATATCAGCACAGTAACACTCAGTCTAATTATTGTTATCTATAAAATCTCAGAAAATATCGAGATATAATTTTTTGTCAATATAGCACACCCCTAGCTGCCAGCTGTTCGGTGCAACTGGCAGAGCTGAATGTAAAATTTAGCACCGCATACACCATCCTAACCCTCGCCAAAGAAGAACTTAACTTTAGGTTATTTACAAAAGAAATCTGTCAGTGTTCTTTTCATTTTCTCTCTTCTTCAGCCCTTTCTTTTTCTCGCGGTAGTTAGCGGAAAGCAGTGACTGAGAGATTGACAGCTAATATTAACCAATACAAAATCTGCATTAAAGTTAAGAATGTAAGGATAAAATCTGTTAATATATAATTTGTAGTAGTGGTGCTCCTAAATTTTTGGTGAGTGCCCCTAAATTTTTGTACCAGTGCTACCAAGTAAAAAAGTTAATTTCGAGCCCTGTTATATAATTATTAAACACTGATATTTGATTTGACAACACTATCATTTATTATCAAATCTTTTAGGTTACAGGAAATTTATCTGGAATAATTAAATTGTAAAATGGATATTTGTGGTCCTGGATGCTGATTGGTCAATGCAAAGTTCCTTATGTGCAAAAATAGACAACCTTTTTAATATAATATCAGCTTGTTACTATGACACCAAACACCTGTTAAACTTAGCTGCTATTAACCTTAAACATAGGTTTACATGTTAGGAAGCATCTAGCAGTAATAATGTTTTACCAAAAAAAACATCTTAAATTCTTATATTTAATATTTATGATTAGAGGTCGACCGATGTATCGGTTTTGCCGATTAATCGGCACCGATAGTTGATTGCTAAAATAAAGCACTATTTTAGTTTTTGTTCAGTATCAATTTTAAAACAATAAGTTAATTAATCGGTATCAGCCAGTGTGGTCCAACCTAGCTATCGGTATCGGTAAAATCCACTATCGGTCGACCTCTATTTATGATACAATAAAATTTACATTTAAACATTTGTAATATTTAGAATTAATTACAACATTATATTTTAATATTTATTTAGGAATTATACCTTCTTATTTAGAAACTATTTATTCAAGCGGTAATAACATTTTACATAAAATTAGTTTTTTAATATATTAAATTCTTATATTTGATATTTATAATACAATACAAATTACATTTAAAATAATAACATTTAATAATTAAAATTCATTACAATATTTAATTTTCATATTTAAAATGTTAATAATTAATATCTTTTTCACAGAGTCATGGCTGACAATATAGCTTGGTCACTTGAACCTATTAACATGACCTGTTATTAAATATTATGAAAGCAGCTTAAAAAAACACACAACAGAGAAAAATTACTGCCAAGATAATGGATACACAATGGAAAATTGGACATGTACGTTAAACCCCTTTCCCTCACAGTCACCTTTAAAACATGCCTCATTCCCATTTCCAACGCTACAGGAGGAAGACATTTATGTCCAGTCAATGAGAACAGCACTTACAAACATTTCCAAAACTTCAAGAGAAAGAGACTGGAAGGCGAGAAGTGGAAAAAGATGTTTAGATGGTCTATATTTATTTATATGCCTTGACTTCATACTGCACATGATAAAGCACTCTTAAAATTTATTCTGCATGACTGTATTTCAGAAGGATAAAACTATTTCTTTCTAGGTGTGAAATATGTGACAACCACTGGCAAAATGTTAATTAATTCAAAATTAATCTTTAATTTATGTAGCCGCCTACATTCTGCATGTCAAAATTGTAAATAAGGAACAAGAAAATGAATCAAACGATACATATGGTGTAAAGGGTGGCTTTGGGGTTCTGTATCATAAAAACCACAAATAATTTAGATTGAATCCTTTTTTTCTATTGTTTCTGTTTCTGCAAGTGCACTATTTGAAAGTGCACAAGAGCTTTCAGGAAGTTATATGTAGTGAGTTCCTCATACAATAGACTTTAACAGTCAGGTTCTGGGGAAAAACATTCTCAATAGGCAATTAATTTTTAACATCAACTTATTAACTTTTAAAAAGACAGACCTACAGTGTTAATCTATGGTATATGCTTTTGTTGAAGAAATCAGCCTGCATTATTTCACTTTTTTTTTTTTTAATCGTGTTTAACACCAGAATTCCTGGTGAAAACTATATTACCCATGATTCTGCAAAGAAATCTCCAGCAATCAGTAAATCAAAAGAAACAAATGTCACATCAAAATAACAAGTTAGTGGCCCACCAACTCCCATGAAGCACTGTAAAAAAAAAAGTTGCAGAATTTCCCTACGCCTTCAATTAAATATTTGTAAATATTTTGAACAAAAAAAAAAAACTTGCATTATTTTTTTATATAGATAATTAATATCTTTAAATAATTTGATTTATTTTGATTTTAATTTTTTTCTTCATGTTGTTCACAATGCTTCATGGGGTTTTAGTAAAGTATAAGAGTCTTATACTTTTTGTCCAATTTTCAAATACATTTTTGCTTCCAATCAAAGTTTGCAATGTTGTGATTCACCTCATAGGTGGTTGGTTTGGTTCATAGCTTATAACTCATTAACAAAGACTTTTTTTTTAAATCCCTATGGGAAAAAAATATTTCTGGAATCAAGACTGCTGAAAACATGTGCAGACACTTGTGCAATCCATACAGGTGGCATGAATACACATTTGTACTTTTTTGCACTGAAAGTGATGCAATGTGATAAAACTAGAATGCAACGAAACTAGTGATAAACTAACCACGTAGTTGACTACTAGGCCTGTCGCAATAATCAATATATAGACTTATCGCACAATATATGTACATGACCTCAATCATTTTTGGTGATGCAATATATCGGCCATTATATTTACTTAAAAATTAATGTCACTGTGTTTTTTACATTCCACTTGCGCCAGTGTCTTTTGCAGCTTCTCGTACATAAATGTGGTGTAGTCATGAGGTGAGGTGCTAGTTCAAATTTAAAAAATGCTTCCACAAAAAAAGTTTCATCTGAAGATATGGCCTTGTTTAGGGATCTGTGCCTTTGTGCATGCGGACATCTGACTGCCAAGTAGTGATTGTGTTTCTCAGCAATAGTGTGCACCCTTCATTTACAGAGAATAGAAGGCCAGGGAAAAATCTGTAGATGGAAAAAATGTTGTTTTTAAGGCATCTAATATTTTGATACTTAATTTCCATGATCTAAATATTCTTAAAAATTAAAAGTTTGTTGTCATTTGGAAGTGTGTAGGCCTTCTTGCATTATTATGCTGTTACATTATGATTATATATTCAGTGGCATAAAATGGTCTTTAAAATGACAATAATATCGCTTATCGCAATTATTTCTGGGGCAATATATCGCACAACAAAAAGTTGTAATTGTGACAGGCCTATCAAGACATTTATTGCTCCTCTTTATCTTCTAAACAATGATTGACAACACTGTAGAACCACAATCAAAACTCCTATAGTGTCAACGAGTCCCTGGTGGCACACTTTGGCGTATGCTACAAAAATCCCCCATAGAACCCAAAGAGATGCTTTGATATGTGCACGATGGCCAGTGAATGACAATATGGAACTTTGATCAGCCAACCCAGAGTCCTCCACATGTGCATGAGCGACTATCAGACCCAACTTCAAAGAGCTGCTTCCCATCCAGTGCAATTAATAGAGCGGAGAGCCAACTGATATGATATGATGATCCTATTAGGACTTGATAGGCATGTCCTGTTCTAAAAGAAAAATAAATTAAGAGAGAGAGAAAGTGATGAAAGTAAGAAAGAGGGTGACTGACAATGTAAGATGTGAAAAGGTAAAAACACTGATTCGAAAGGGTTGTTTGATGACCATCTGTTTTGCCAGTTCATTATTCTCTGGAAATGTTGCATGCCTCATCGTACCATTAAATGAACATGAAAGACATGAATAAACATATGAATAAGAGTATGTGAAAGGGAAAAAACAGTGTGGAGGTAGGTAAAGCAATTGAAGAAAGCCATACACAAAGAATTCAGCCAATCAATTTTCAATAATTTATCAGCTGACCAAAGCACAAAGCTCCAGGTGTTTCTTCTTGGATCTGGGATTTCTGTTCATCGGTTCAACAGCTAAGAGAAGAGAGACACTAAAGAATTTTACTCTTTTAAAACTTTCCTTCAGGCACCATTTATAATCTCACCATTAAAAACTCTGGAATTGACAGATTTTCCATTGTGCATGATGTTATTTTTTCTTTGTTAATATTCAATAGTTGGCAAAAAGTACCTGGAGGAGCTACTACTTCCAAAAAGTTCCTAAAGTGAGCATTTGACAGAAATGGCAACACGTTGAATTAAATTTAAGTAAAAGGACATAAATTTTATTTTTTTGTAAAACACTCAAATAATCTTTGTTTTAATTCCAACTTCGACAATGTTTTTTACAGTGTATATAAAACAATTTTTGACTAATGACAATAAGGTCACTTCAGCTGTAGACATTTTGGCCACATCCTAATGGCCAAACACTTTGAAAGTCTATTGGATATAGAAATGAAAATCAGAGTCTTGCCTCATAGTAACTGCGCACGGCGTTGCAAAAAGCCTCATCTGCGACGATCTGCGTCTCTCCTTTCAGGAAGGCCTGGAAACGCTCCTTTACCACCTGCAACTGCTGCTTGTTCAGCTGAGAATAGAAAAGAGAACAAAACAAGAGTTAACTGAAGTTAATCAGTGACATCTCATTTTCTTTATCATAAATAAATAACCATAGGAGTAGAGCCCAACTGATATATCATTTAGCCGATATTATCAGCCGATATGAGCCTGTCGCCGATATATCGGAATCTGCGAATATGCCACCGATATGAATTTTTTTTTTACAGAACATATAACGCAGATTAAACGCTTCTGAATGGTGTAATGACTTAAATTGTCCAGCAGAGCGCGCTCCATTGTCTGCTACTGGTGACCCAGGTCATGTAGTGTAGAGATGCGCGGATGAGCTCAAACTTCACCAGAGTCCGTTCAAATTGTCCTGGCTATTCCAAGCTCTATCATTGCAGTCAGCGGGTGTTGCAGTGCTTCAGTCCCAAAGAAGTGAAATAAAAGCCCATCCATAAAAATAAAAAAAAGTCTCTCACACGGCTCCGGGGGGTGAACAAAGGCCTCCTGTAGCGAATCGATGCGTTTTTGTAAGAAAAATATCCATATTCAAAACATAATAATCACTTTAATCTAGCTTGCGCTCACTGTTGTAAATGGAAGCAGTTCCGGGCGGATGACATATGAGGTCAGCGCTGCGCATGTGCCACTCAGAAGTGACGCATGCGGAAGCGCAGCGGAGAGATCAAAACAAAACAACGGTCACGAATTAGAAGTACAAAACGAGGATTTGTAAAGAAGAATGTCAGAGGATTTCGATATAAGTCAAGAGGAGACTGGTTTTCCTTTGCTAAAGTAAGGAAACTTTGCTTCCTTTGATCCTGTAAACAAATGTTGGTTTTCACGAGACTCACCGGCACATGCGCAACGCTGACCTCATACGTCATCAACCTGGAACTTCCGTGCTTCCGTTTACAACTGTTGGCGCAAGCTAGATTAAAGTGATTATTATGTTTTTAATATGGATATTTTTCTTACAAAAACGCATTGATTCGCTACAGGAGGTCTTTGTTCAGCCCCGGAGCCGTGTGAGACACTTTTTTTTTATGGATTTCACTTCTTTGGGATTGAAGCACTGCAACACCCGCTGACTGCAATGATAGAGCTTGCAATAGCCAGGACAATTTTTTATATAACTCCGACTGGATTCGTCTGAAAGAAGAAAGTCATATACACCTAGGATGCCTCTGGAGTGGGTAAAACACAGCCTAATTTTCATTTTTGGGTGAACTAACCCTTTAAAGCCTGTTACGGCCACCAGAGCTGACCACTCAGTCAATGCTGATGTTTATACCGGCCGCGCCGCGCCCCAGAACTCATGCTTATCACATCTGTCAAATCACATCGCTCGGCACGACAAAATACAATAGAATTCTATTTTATTTTATCGCGCCGCGCCGCTCGCATCCGGTGTACAATAGAACCAATTATAATCAGTGATGTTGTCTACATTGGATGCAGTAAACTGATGTCTCGTTCTATTTATGATGTGCTGACACAAAGTTCAAATGATTTTCAACGGTCGCTTTGTCGCATCCTGCGTAGGTCGTACATAGTTTGTCAGTACAGTCAGTAACGTAGCAGATTGAAAAGTTAGTATCTTTCTGCAGTCCAATAGACGGCAGTGCGGTGGTGGCTTGAGTCTGTTGAATGGTGATTTAACGCTACGTTGTCACCTAGTTGGAGAGACTCAATGCTAAGTAAATAATAGTAAATAAAAATCTCGATAATCGATTCTCATTTTTACGGAACGATATCGATTCTTAAATCCCAAGAATCGATTAGTATAGCCTGTTTTCTGTTAATGGACGGAACATTGAAGGGCACTTTCCATCCAATAAATCGCAATAAGCATCGTGCTTTGGTACTTTTAATATGAAACAAAGTCTCAGATTTCAAATTCTGTCCATTGCATTGCAGTATTCAAACAAGAAATGCCGTTTTGGAGCTGTTTAATGTGGAGTGACAGATCATGAAAAGTGCTCCGAGTCGCTGCAGAAAACAAAAAAATTGAACAACAACAAAAACTGGAAATGTTGCTGGAGACGGGCTTATTTAAAATGAAAACTCATTCTCTGCCAGCAGGAGGCGCTTTTAGAGTGATAAAACTAGCGGTTTCCCAGCCCTAGTAAATAAACAACAATGTCCCCATCTTTTACTCTCACAATAAGCTTATCATATTCGTTTGCTACATTAGTAGGGCCCTATAATTTCCGCAATGCAGAAAAGATGGACGGAATTGCGGAATCCAGTCATAAAAACGGAATTTACTGTATAACTCAGAATTTCATTAAATTTGCCTTATTTGGGATGAATAAATAAAAAACAGGTCAATACATACATATAGACTGTGTCTGTGACTATTAAACTGCAAAAAGACGATTTAAATACGAATGTTCTGCATGTTCATTTGATTACCAGAAAATACACAACACAGAGTTTGTGAAAAAAATATTATTTATTCATTTTAGATGTTTACATTTGGAAAAGCTGTGCTTCCTGCATAAACCTGCCCCTATTGGTTTGGCAGTAGCTTGTTTGCCCTACACAGTTACCTTGTTTAATTTCTTAATTCCAGTTATATATATATTTTGTTCTATTTGTGTTATGTATAATAAGTGAAGTGAAGTTTACTGTTAAGTGCTCTGATGTATGGAACGATATTCCGGACAATTTTCAA